AAGCGCCCGCATGTTCGCCAGTTGCTTGCACAAGTGGGGATGCATACGCATGCTTACCCATGACTTCCACAACCCAGTTCCAAATGGCTCACGGCCCTGTAATGAGCCATGGCTGGGTGTGTGGGGACCCCTGATATAGTGGGAGCCTGGAAACCTGCCATTTCTGACAAATGGCAGTCCAATCTTCTTGAAAGCCTCCAGAGATGAAGCTCCCAACTTCCGAGGGCAAGCTGTTCCATTGGTTGATTGTTCTCACTGTCAGATATGGCTCTGAATTCCCAGGCTTTTGATAGGGTGTTGACTGGGCCCTTGATGGGACAGTTTTTCTGTTTATTAGCTGCTCATGACTTTTTAAATTTTTTTACTTTTTCAATTATAAACTGCCTTGAGTCATTTAAAATGTATGATAAAATAAATTAATGAATATGTGAGTAACGCCCAGATTGATTCTGGAATATTCTGCAGCTCCCACAAGACAGAGATAATACAGCTTGAAAAGTTGATACATCACGCTCGCCTCCTGAAAAGATATATTTCATGTTCTCTTCTGCTAACTATTGAAAGAAAAAGTGCTATCCTTAATAAATGCAGATTCTGGATTCAGTTTTAATGAATTTTTTTTAAAAATAAGGTAGATATAATGGTGGCACTTCATGTAATTTAGTGTTTATTTTTATGTACATTCTGCCTTTCATTCCCTCTCCCCCTTTTCCAACTGTTTGGATTGCATCTCACAGAAACTATTTCTTTATAAAAGCTTGTACAACAGCAAAACAAACCATTTTTATTCACTTCCCTGGAGCTCCTTACAAGAATCTGCCCCCAAATTTTGGGAAGTATGGGAAGCTTTAGCCAAAGCATAGGAAGATAATTTGTTTATGGGGTTTTGTTTAACTTTATCATTTACTTCAAAACCATACTATAGTAACGTTTCCAGATGCTTCATAAAGCATTAAACATACAAGATTTTGTGCAACTATTTCTACTTTTTATAAAATATAAAATGCCATTAAATTAATTTCTATTAAGCATTAAAGTATTTCATTTATTCCTACCCTATAGGGAAAGTCTTCAGGGAACATCTTAGTGTACAAATATTGAGATCAGTATCATAATGGCGTGGACAAGCGAGAATAAAAACACCATTACATAAACAGAAATAGGCCAGAAATAAAATTAATACAACTCTTGATAAAATCAAATTGTCTATGGGATCTTCATAATAGCTACAAAAGGCAGAATCTACAATACCTTTATGAGAGTCACTGCTAAAAAGGCCTTTACTAAAGCAGAAAAAGACCAAATTAGCATTTGGACAATTTCTATTGTAGTAACATCCATAAAAACTAATTGATGTAAATTAGAAAGTCAGTTTCATATTTACAATTGATACTGAACTTTAGCATGACCAAGGAAACTGAAAGAGATTAAAAAAAAAAACTTTTTCCTGGGTTCTTTGCATTGTATACACCCTACTAGGCCTGCACAAACATCCATTTGAATGATAACCATTTTGTGAGTAAAATGGTAATCTATCAACAGTGAAGAAGCTTGGAGTTTTCAGATTAACATATTCAACTGTAGAAACATAAGAAATGATAAGAGCTGGTGAAATCCTAACCAGCACACACCGTATGTAACAAAGATTCACGGTTCTTAAACTCTGAATGTTAAAATGTTACACTAATACTTGGATTTATGTAGTACATGTTATTCTGAGGTCTAGCTCTTTAAGGTGCCTTGCTCTTAACCCTGGAGACCTGGTTTGGCAGAGTGAACTAGCACCAGAGACACCCAGGTTCAAATTCAGCCTCAGGCCCAGAAGCTTTTCCTGTGTGATTTTGGGTGAGTCCACCCTCCCTCACTGCAATCTACCTTATAGAGTAGTTGGGGGGGGGGGGGGGGAAGGGAAGATAAAACACTGATTATTTAGAAAAAGTTCAAAATGCTATGAAATAAGGAGGGGTTTTATATACATTATCTAGTCAAAGTCCAGTAGCAAATATTAAACTTGCTTAATATCTAATTCTTTGGAAAACAAGGAAAAATAATGCTAAAAGGCGTAATCTTTAAATATACTGGAAAAAGCAGATAATTTTTTGGAACATAACACATAAACTAGGAGTCAGCATATTTCCCCCAACAATCTTGGTCCTCATTTTACCCACCTCGGCAGGATGGAAGGCTGAGTCAACATTGAGCAGGTCAGAATTGAACTCTTGGCAGTCAGCTGAATTAGCCTGCAATACTGCATTCTAACCACTGTGCCACCCCAGCACATAAAAACCAAAACCACATACTAGATACATAATATATCCTTTTTCTGAAGGGAAAGCTACATTAACTCAAGTTCATCTTTTTGAAATGGTGTAACACTATGACGGAATATCAGCCAAAATATAGCTACTATCTTATCTGAACCATCATATGGATCACTGAGACCTCATGTAGCCTTTACACAGATGACTTATCAATAATAATGCCAAATCTAATAATCCAAATTTTAAACATCTGTCTTGATTGTGCAATGAACCATAATAATGTGAACAATAAAAAGTTAAAATAAAATTATACAAAATAAAAAAGTAAAGTGTGGATAATCAATGTGGCAATACCAGAGGATTAATAGAATAAAAGACAATGAATTGGAGAACAACACAAAATATCAAGATCCGAAAAGTTGAAAGATTATAGCATAAACCAGTCATGGTGATTCCAATGGTTATTGGCACACTGAGTACCACAACAAAAATATCTTTGGATGGCAGTTAGAAAGCCTACACATTGACAAAATTTCCATCTGTCAATTACAAAAGTCCACCTGTGTGATCTGCACATATACGAAATGGATGGCAAGCAAATTTAATAAATAAACACTGTGTTTATTTATATTACAATATCCTGGGTTCTTGGCAAGAACTCAGTGCCTATGAAGGCCAACACTATAGTTAAAGACCTCACAGCTGTTATTTCACATGCCGTGTTTATAATAATTTATAAAATCTGTATACAATCAAAGAAATTATAATAAAACCAATAAAGATAAAAGATAGAAAGTGAGAGAAATAAATGAGGCCTCCCTTTTCAAAGGGTTGAGAAGAGCCAAGCCATTCATAGTTTGTTAGCCGCAACAAAAATAGTTTCCAAACTAGCAAAGATTAAGCATGATAAGGCTCTGTTAGGACACTAAAGTATGATACAGATCACTCCTTCTTTGAAAGATAAAGTAGGGCAAGATATAAAAAAACCTGATCATGAAAGTCAAGCAACTTCTCCCCAGGGGAAAAACAAAATCATTATGACTTGTTGGTTTGGAGAATCCAAGAGGTTTTATAAAATATCTAGGGTGGGGGAGACACTTTTTCATGATTCAAAATTGCAATAAATTTGTTCAGCAGTAATTAGTATCTCTTAATACAACATGCTAGCTTGCAACGTTTTCAGGAGGAATTGAATGAATTCAAAGGTAAATCCTTTGCAATAATTAGCCCCGCTTTGTAAACAGAACTGCCATGGTCAGGAGCAACATATTGCTGAACACACTTGAGAGGAAGGTGAGGAGAAAATTCCAAGAAAGTCTGCATCGGCATCCTGCTGAGACAGACAGAATCAAAACATAGTCCTTCTGGCTGGTAAGCAGGGAACTTCCTATGATGTAACAGATGTGAACTTAATGAGGAGTGCAAAACTGGGGTCTAAATGCCTCGTTTTATTTAGCTACTGTATCTGTAGGGTTTCTGACATCGGATTCCCAATGGTGGAGCCGCTTCTTCTACAGTTTTTTCCTCCAGTGCATTTGAATCAGCCTTAACTCCTGGCAACTGCCTGGATAAGGCCTGCAATTTCCCTGGCAACATTTTTGGAATTGGATTTCCCATTGCCTCCTTCCCAGAGCTGATAAAAAAATGAATGGCGCAAAGTAACCCAGCAGGCTACCTGCTTAAGGCTGAACTAGAACTCACGATTTCCTGGTTTCCAGCAAAAGGCCTTTACCACTACCCCAAATTGGCTCCTACATGCCATTGTAACAAACTGCTTTTGTATGTCTCCTTCCTCTTCTTATTGTTAAGTTTTCTGCATGTAATCCCATTTTTTAAAAAAAAGCAGAAAAGAACTTTGGGTATCCAAAATTACTGGACCCGATAGCTGGATTATGGTGCGTTTACCAACAAAGGGTTTTGGGGACAGCCTATAGAAATGATGAAGGCATAACCTGAAGGGAAATATGATCTTTGAACAGTCACTTTGAAGAAATTACTTACAAGCATAGTTTTCTATAAAACATGTACTTCCAACCCAGAATACTAATTAAAAGACCATTAATTTGCATAGATCCTCTCACAGAAAGTTTGTTTCTGGGCACACATTCTCCCCTTCACTCCATTTCTGCATAAATGCTCAATGAAATGTTTCGAAGTATCTAACATTAATGGCTTGGTTGCAATGTAACATTTACATGGGTTTTTTTTAAGCCTGTCAATTAAATTTGGAATATATCTTCACACTTCATAGCATGTGGCCTATCAGAGCAATAGAGTTAAACAATATCAAAGTGTTTTACCCATCTATGGAAAACAAAATGCAACTACAGTTAGCATATGTCAACAATCTAAAACAGCACACCACCGCAAGAAAAATTTCCTGAAGTACAGTAAATCTTAATGTTGTATAATCAAGTATGTGGCGTTTACTTCATGTTTACTCTTCTTTGCAAGAAAGCACTGAGAACAGCACAAAATAATGAGCGACAGCAAAAGCTGGCATGTCAGCCACAATGAGGAAGAAATGGCAGCCAAAACCTTGCCTTCATAAAAACCTAACAAGCGAACCTTTGATGAAGTTAGCTAATGACAGTTTCCTTAAACGTATTTCTGAAATCCAATCTCCATGTCCTGGATTAAATGAAACACGGGGAGAGGGATGAGGAACCCACAAAATAATTCCCAAAATGAAATGACACCTGCATCTTCAAGGAATGTAAACGGAATCGAGATACTTACTCTGCATTAAATCCATTGACGTGCAAGATTCGCATTTGCTTGACAATTGTGCTTTTACCAGATTCACCAGCACCTAGAAAGCAAAAAGAAATCCATTTCAGAAAATAATAGAAAAAATCCAGGAGGATGTGTGCGGCTGCTCCTGTTCAACAAGCAATATTTCCCAAACCTGAACGATGCAATCGGAACTTGAAAACTGGAAGGGGAAAAAAAAAAAAGTAATTGCCACTGGAAACTGCAACTGTAACTAAAAATAAATGCCAAGCTAAAGTCATGTGTGAGAGTGGAAGCTTGGAATGTTTCACTACCCATTTTTTCCAGGGTCTTTATTGAAACAGGCACAGAGGAACTTCAATACCTTAAGAGGAAAAAGGTAAGCCGTCTAATAATGCCATTACCATTTCCAACCCATGAAAGTAGCAAGACCAGATTGCCGCACTCCATACGGAGCAAAACATTTGCCAGTTTGGTCTGGAGATCCTTCATACCTTCCACAGCCAGTCAAATGCACCGAACATTGAAGATACACATTCCCCCCTTCACTCCAATGTTGCATAAAAGTTTCCTTTTGTGCTGTATCTCCCATCTGCCCTCAAAAAAACAGTCTTTCCATCAACTTCACGTATGCTGCATGACCTTAAACTGCCTAGCCAGCAGATTACCCTACATCCTTGGTTCTGCTCCCTATCCTTTCTCCTTCTCCCCCTCTTGAAACAAGCTTTCTCCAAATCTGCCCCCACTCAAGCCAGCCCAGGGGATGGTTTCAGCCACAAAATCAGACAGAAGGTACCAAATATTCCAGCCCAAATTAGTTTGCACTGTTTTTACACAGAAGCACCCTTTTCTTCTACAGGAGCGCAAGACTTGCTTTACTAACGCAGACCCACAGATACCCCAGTATCTTTTGGCGTGGCAATTCATTTTCTAAGATAGCTTCCCACCAGCCTGAAGGAAAATAAAAAAGGATACACTGCTTGAAGAGGGCATTGCTCACGAAAGCACTGTAGTAGTATCTGTGGTGCCAAGCTCTTTCTCTTAGCACTCACTACAGCACAATCCTCCATTTTGAGTCTCATACACAAAACTAAATTTTAACAGCTATATATCAAAGGCTATTTGGCTGCAGAAGGCTCCAATTTTGCCCTTCTCTTTGTCTGTCTTTATCTGCCCTGCCATTCTGGCCTCTGATTACTATAGCATACTGCTAATGTTTTTAGCCTTCTTCAAATCCAACCATTAAACGCGGTGAGACCAAAATATTAAATTTTCACTGCCTTTTCCTTTCATTCCATGGTGAAAATCAAATTCCCCATTTCTCACAGCCAGACAAATAATTGCATCAAGTCCTTGCCAGTCACAGAACTGTAATATGTCTTTCCTACCAATCAGTAAAAGAACTGATCAAAAGCAAGGGTGTTTCCCACACCTTCCGCCTAAATATATATAAGTCTTATAATACCGGAGACTTAAAAATTAAAACTGAAGCAATGACACATTTAAATGAAAATATTAACTCCAACATTGTTAATATTGATCTATAAAAGACCAAATAGAACTGTGTTAATTTTTCTCATATAAATAGAAGCCACAAAACATTCGTCACTAATATGTGAATTAAATGTTTCCTTAGTTGAGACAGTACATTAAACATCTTAAATATGAAGCCTTATAAATAAGATTGGACAAAGCTTCCACCCCCATTTAATTTTTATTAATATGTTCATAATATGCTGGAATACTTGAAATAATCTGCTTTGTGCTGTTTTGTAGCATTTACAACAGCAAAGGTTTCTTGCTGTTAACTATTTTGTGCAATCATAAAACTACTACTGTATGTATGATGATACTTTTAGGCCCAGCCAAACATAAAAGGAAGACATGTTCTAACTATGAAGAATCTGACCTTTTCTCTCGGCATTTTTCTGATCATCAGAATTTCAAAATCATATTGACTGCTACCTCAGCCTAAAACATACATATATGGAAGTAAATCCAATGATTTTAAAAAGATTTTAATATCTAGCATTATATGTATTCTTAAGATTGTAACCCTAGCAATAAGGGATGTCTGTAATATGTATGTATAAGGTCAACTATTTCATTCCAACTTAAGTTAAACAAGATCTTGACAAATCATTTATCATAGGAAACATAGTTATTCTTTGAATTGATCTTTAGTCCTCCAAATCAACAATGTAAAACTCACACACCTCACTTATTTATTTTCTTCCTCCCCAAAATCAGCCTACTCAGAAGGAATACTCTACTAGCAAGCACTATCACATATAGATAAAATACATGTTAGAAAACAGTACTATTCACTTTATTTTTATTTGGGATTTTCAGATAAAACTGTAGAAAGGAAAGGCCTGTGGAAAATATATCTGAATAAGCCACTCTGTGATATCAAGACCGACATATGCTAAAACTCCAGCTCTTTGAACAAAAAGACTTATTCCCAGTCACATTTTCAACAAAAATATCAGAGAAGAATGCAACCCAATCCCAGTATTTAAAATTTAACCAAGTATTGGTTTTTTTAACCCATTCCCTTTCCCTTATGTCACCAAAGAAATACCTGTATTTTTCTCTCTCTACCTCATCAATATTCAACAGACTTCCTGCAAGAATTCAATGTGCCATCTTCAGCAGACAGCACAGTGAGTCCTGATTCTCCTTATATCCTCTATTTCCATCCACTATATTTACTTCAGTTCCCACCAAGGGCCTGTGGCATCAAGTACCTTAACGGAAGTGCCGAATATTCTGTTGCATCCCCAAAGCCAACCACATCAATATCAATCAGGATATTTCCTTTATGTAAAAGTGACTTTTTCCCTTCCACAGTTCACTGGGCAGTTAACAGCTGCCCAAATCATGAGGGGCAAAGCTTTGCCCACCTGTATCACCCTACACAAGCGAATGACAAGCAATGGAAACAGAAGGGCAGAGGTAGAATGAAGCCATTTTTATTTATTAACCAAGTTTGGGGCCAAAAAAGTCCCAAACCCAAAAGACCAAGGGCTTTCAAAGGAGGAGGATGGGGTCTTATGGGGGGAGAAGAAAAAGGAGTGTTATTAAAATAATAACATTATCATCATCATCATGTGTCATCTGTGGCAAGGAAATGACCAGGCCACCCCTTCCACCTTAAGCCCACAAAAAGGGTAATTTTAAAAGAGGAGGGGAGAAAGACACCTCCCCTCCGGAACTCGCCTGAAGATCTTCCTAGTCCCTTCACGGGCACTTTCTCCTCCCCCCCAAGGGTCACCCCCTAAGGGGTTTAGTCCAAACTGCAAGATGGGGAGACACCAGTAGGGAGGGCCGAGGCCTACTTCTTCCCGACAACCCGCCCCCCAACCCCCCCCCCCGCCCCTTCGCATTCCCCCTCCCTCCTCCTCTTGGCATCTCGGCCGCTTCCTTACACCGGGAGATGTCAAGCCGGGGCCGCCAGCCTGGGAAAAGGGCAGAAAGCAAAACCCCTCCGTCGCCCCGTCCTCTTCCTGGCACAGGGCCCGCTTCATTGGAGGCGGCGGTCGGTCGAGCTACCCAGCAGGGCCCCACCTCTCCTGCCCAGTCTCCGCCACCCAGCCCACCGATGCCCCCCCCCGGGCCCCGAGGAGAAGGGTGGCCTCTCTCCTCCCTTCCCGCCCCCGACGCCCGCGCGCCTTACCCAGCAAGAGGAGCCTGTGCGTGGCCCTATAGACCTGCTTGTCCTTCTGCAGCTGCTTCTCGATCTTCTTGTTGGCCTCTCGCTGCGCCTTCTCCTCGTTGCGCTGATCCTCAGTCTTGCTGTTCCCTAAACAGCCCATCTTGGGGGGGGGGTGAAATGGAGGGGGAGGGGGGAAGGGGAAAAGGAGGGGAAGCAGGAAGCGACCGGGGGTGGCGGGCGAGGCGGCGGCGAGTCTCCTTGCCCCCGTTCAATATTATTCTTTCACGCACAGCTGTCGCTACCCAAAGACATGGGAGAGCCCGGAGCCTACAACGGGGTGGGGGCCGAGGAAAGGGGTGGGGGTGGAAGAGAGCGATGACTTTGCTACTGCTCAAGCCGGGCCTTCACCTCCTTCTCCCCTAACACCGCCGCCAGATCCGCTCGCAATGCAGATTTCCCCCCCCCCCAATTAAAAAAAAAGCGCGCACACACAAACACAAAAAGAGGGGGAAGGCAATTGGGGGGGGGGCAGGGCACGTAGAGAGGTCGGCAGCCACCCGAAGGGGGAAGGATCACGGGTTAAAAAATTGGCTTCCCTTTTCCTCCTTCTCCCCCCCCCCCAAACCCCGCAAGGACAGCCACCACCAAATCTGGGTGGGTTTTTCTTTAAATATCTCCAGCTTCCACGCCACCTCGGCCGGTGGTGCTGGTGGGGAACAGAATAAAAGCCAAATCTGTCTTTTTTCTTCTTCTTCTTCACTTTACATATAATCCTTCAGGATCGAGGCGACGGCAGCAGCAAGCTCCAGAAAGCCAGGGGAGGGGGGAGGGGGGGGAATCAGACCCTCCCAACTCCGGGCACCGAAGCTCTCGCAAACGTCTCTCTTCTTTGGCTGCCCCCCCCCTTTTTTTTTTTCTTTCTCCTTTTGCTTTTGCTAAAAATTGCCCGTTTTCTCTCGGTCTCCTCCTCCGCCTCGCGGCTTCCCCTTCCAAGGCACTTCTTGCAAAGTGGGTGAAAGCGCCCGAAAGGGTCACCGCTAACCTTTCCGCGGCGTCGGGCAGGCAAAGAAGGCGAGTCCCTTCTGCGTTCCGGGCTGGGCTGGGTAGATTTTCCTCCTTCTCTCCAGCCTGCGGTGCGGCGGCGGCGGCGGCGCGTCTTCCTGCCCTTAATGGTGGTTTGTACAAATCCAAGGCCCTCTCCTCCTCCTCCTCGCCCTTTTGCTTATTCACATTCGGCTTCCAGGCGGCTCGATCGGCTCTCGCCTCTCCGGCAAATGCGGGGAGACGAGGGGGTAAAGGGGACGGGAGGGGGGGGGAGAAGGAGGAGGAAAGAGGCAGCAGAGAGGAAAACGCAGTGTGGATCTCCTCCCCCAAAACAAAAATAACTCTCCTATGGGGAGCTTTCCTTCCGCGCTCCCCCTCCCCACTCCCTATTTAATTTCCCTTCCACTTTCCCGCATTTCCCCGCGAAGGAGGGCGAGGGGGGAGCCGATTTTAATATTAAAATCGAGCGAGGCAAGGGAGCGCGAGCGAGGCAGCGACGGGGTGGGGCAAGCCTCGGCTCAGAGTGAACCATGGGAACTCAATCATTCACATGATACCCAAACGTCAGGAGTTAACTGACTAGAGGCGCCCTCTTCAAACGCCCGCAGGGAAAGACGGAGCGGGGGGGGGGGGGGGGACGGGCGGTGGCTGCACGTGTTGCCTGGCCCGCTCTCTCCTAGCTTCCCCCGCCCAGGTGCCTGTGTAGGAGGCGCGGCGGGGGGGGGGGGGGGGGGGTCTGGCCAGGGGGGGGGGGGGGGGGGGGGGGGGAATCTTTTTCATGGGGGAAGGGGCGGGGGGACGCTTGCAGTTTCGCTTCCGAGCGCAACTTTCCTCGGACCGATTGAGGGAAAGGTAGACTCGGGCGCAAAAACGCACAAATCTCCTTCCCGTCCCCGAAAACGGAGGGGCGCAGATGGATCCCCACCCAAAGGAGAAATAAATCCTGGTTGCTTGTTGGAAAAAAAAAATCTTTTTGGGGGAATGAAGGAGAAGGCGGGGGAAATGGGAGAAGCTTGGAGCCGACGCCGTCGATCCCGGCAATGAAAGGAGACGAAGCAGGACTTAAAGGGAAAAGTGTGGGGGGGGGAGGGTGTTTGGGGGATCCTGGCTGGGAGGGGAAGACCTTCCAGCCCTATAATCTGACTGGCGAGGGGGAGGCAGGGAGAGCCAAAAGCCTGGAAGGTGACGGGGGGGGGGGGGAGCGAAGAGAGGCTCCATTTTAGGTTGATTAGGTTGCGATCGTGTCTGAATCGATCCAATATAACTGTTATTCCAACGATATAAATTACGATTCCTGTCTGTATTTAAGCCCTTGGCCCAGGGGGAATAAACGTGTCCCTTTGCCTCCTTCCGAGACTAAGCAGCGTCTGAATCTTGTTCATTTAATTATGTATCTTCATGGTGAAGACATAGGATCTTCCCGACGTTGGCAAGTAATGTTGCCAACAATATTTATTGTCCTCCAACAATTCAAGGCAAGGTTTTTTTTTGTTTTTTTTTTTTTACTAAATAATCAGTTTATAGGCGGCTTCAATCACAACTGCAAATCTATGCGTTTAAGGAATATATATAATTAGGCTTAAGGCAAGATGCGTCAAAAAAATAGCTAGAAGAACTCATAGTGCAGAAACAACAACAATAATAATAATAATAAAACCTTACAAAAGTGTAAATGGAAAGTCGGGTCACAAACCATGCACCAAAAAGAAAGCCAAGTCTTCAAGATATTTGAAAACAGGCAGTGATTAAGTTATAGTTTGTTGTGAATGAGCCTCTGATTAACATAGCCTGTTAAACCAACTGACCAAAACTTTAGAATTTAATTTAGGCATGATCCTAGTTATACTAAAATTAGTCATACTGTGTTTGTTTAAAATATTTCTTATTTTAAAAAGCTGTTTTCCTCATATTGTTAAAACACTGGGAACAGAAAATCCTTGGTGATCAATTAGACTTGGAAATTCCTCAGTAGAATCAAACTTATTTTCTCTCCATGCTTTACTTCGAGCAGATTAGGGCCTTTTCTGATACTATTTTATAGTTTATCTAACCTTTACCTCAATTCAAAGCCCTTCTTTCTTCCCAGATTCTTTGTCTCATATCCAGACCCATTCAATACTGAGTTAAGGCTGAGCCCAATTGAGCTTAATCCCAGGTGAAATAAAAAATTATATCAAAAAAAGTTAAGGCCAGCAATTAGAACTAGTTCTAAACCTCAGTTCAAGTCTTAATAGTGGATAATAGAATTATATTAGACAACAGAAGTATAAAGTAGATGGTCATGAACCTAACTTGTTCTTAGTTTATGAGATTATTTATTTCAAAAGCAACTACAGGTAAATCCTTGACCAGTGGAGCCCAAAATTTCTGTTGCTAAGCGAGATATTTGTTAAGTGAATTTTGCCTCATTTTATCACCTTCCTTGCTACAGTTAAGTAAATCACTTGCAGTTCTTAAGTTAGCAACATGGTTGATAAGTGAATATGGATTCCCCATGGCTTTGCTTGTCAGAAGGTCGCAAAGGGTGATCACATGACCCTGTGACACTGCAGCAGTCATAAATATGAGTCAGTTGCCAAGGGTCTGAATTTTAATCCCATGATCATGGGGATGCTGCAATGGTCATAAATTACTTTTTTCAGTGCCACTGTAACTTTGAATGGTCACTAAATGAACCTTTGTAAATTGATCACTACCTGTACATATATCCCATGCTGCAAAGGGGATAAAAGGGGAAACCAAAATTAATTGAAGGGAATATATGGGAAAAATATAAGAAAAAAATATCCTGTATTTTAGCAGCAATGGTCAGATTTGGAATTTTGCAAAAAGTGTTAGAACTGCTGCCATAAAATGTCTCTCTTGGGGAAAGTGTCCATTAACAAAATGGCTGTTGTGAGGAGTGCAAAATGTCAGATTTAGAATAATGAAATATATGACTTGATAGTAAGAACTTCAGAATATTACAGTGTAAACTTTGTTATTTTTTTTATAATTCATTTTAATTACCAAGTTTTGTTCAAAGAACAGAATCCTTTCTGAATTACATATATCTTTCCCTATTAAATATGGAACCCTGGAAAGAAAGAAAATTGTTGAATTCATTGGTAACAGTAGCCTAAATCTAAATATAAATGAATTACCAAGGAAGTCCAATATAATCACATTTGACTTAAAATATATCCAAATTTGGATATCCTAGCTTCTTAGATGATAAAGGAATGGACCTTATTTTCTATTTATAAATGAGATGGAGGGGGAGCATAAAGAGTAGGCATTAAAGAGTAGTACATGGTATAGAGGGAAAATTGCTAATGACAGTAAATACTAATCTGTCCATCAGAACTGGAATCCACAAAAAAGAATACATTTAGAGAGTAAAAAAATATACAATTTTTTTAAAAGTTATTTATGTCACTTTTCAGAGAATGTAGAATGACTTTTTATGCCTGGAATAGTATTTTGAAAAATAGAGTCTGAGGAATTGAAGCAAAATCATGGTGAAAAGTGATAAAAGTTTTAGATCTTCTTGGAAAACTGAAAGTAAATCAGAGTCCAGATGGTAGCCATCCAAGAATTCTTAGCAGAAATACTTCTCCAAGATCGGCCTCTGCATTAGAGGACAAGAAAGGAATCTTGTGGTACTAGGAAACTGCCCTGGCTAGCTTAAAACCTGTTCTGAGCAATTATTGAAGATAAAATAAACATTCTTGCTGAAGAAGAATTAGTGTGGCTTCCTCCAAGTGACATCTTTCATTGATTATATATATATAATATATACAATATATATTTAGAATGTCTATATACCAGTGGATAAAGATGAAATGGCAGGTATGTTTTGTTTTGACAGAGTCACACTAAAAACAAACTTAGCAGTCATGAGATGAGAAGGAATGCACATTATAGATTGGTAGAACTGATTAAAGACTAGGAAGCAAAGAATGGAAATAGATAGGGATATTAATAGAGGTGCCTCCATCTTTTCAGAGGAGCAATGCTAGAGTTGGAATGAAATATATGATAGCCCAATTTATTGATCACATATTAATGAAACAAATAATTGTAAACCATAATTTACAATGTACTGTGTCAGAGATAGAAAACAGATTGTTTTCTATTTAACATAGCAAGGTAATTCACATATATTTAGTGGAATTGTGTTACTGTGGAATAAATGTTATATCCTATAAACGTTAAAGCTCCTTAAGATTTAAATGCAGGGAACTAGTTTGAATACTTGTATGAGAAGATGTATTTGCAGAAAAGGAAACTTGGCAAGGTAGACTTCGAAATATATACTGACAACTGATTCATTGTTAGCAAAATGGTTGCTGTAACATGTGATGGCATTGAATACCGGGCTAGCTGTCAGATTTGAATTAACTTTGTGATGAAATTATCATGACAGATTTTGCACCTGTCCCAGGTGCAGAACAAAACTGTTCCAGTAATTCTGTACACTTGAATTTTCTGATGTTGAATAAAGGCGCATAATTAAAAAGTACAAAATATCAGAACATATTTTAACACTGATGTGGGTACACCCGTTGTATATGAGGTGATATTTTTCTGAAATGCACTTGAAAACTACAGGGCAATACAGGTAGTCCTCAACTTACAACAATTCATTTAGTGACCATTCAAAGTTACAATGATACAACTTACGGCCATTTTTTCACACAACTATTGCAGGATCCCCTTGCAACTGACTCATATCCCAAGGTCATGTGATCATTTTTTGCAATCTTCTGACAAGCAAAATCAAGCCAGATTCACTTATCCGTGTTACTAACTTATCAACTGCAATGATTCATTTAACAGCCGTGGCAAGAAAGGTGGTAAAATGGGGCAGAACTCAACAAATGTCTCACTTAGCAACAGAAACTTTGGACTGAATTGTGGTTATAAGTTGAGGATTACCTGTACTTGCTGTGTTTACACCATCAGCCTAATATATATACCTTATAAACAGAAGAAATAAATTATGCCAGAAGATTCATGTTGCTGAAGAAGAATTAGTGTGGCTAATGATAATCAGAGTTGGAAGGGACCTTATAAGTCATCTAGTCCAACCCCCCACCCAAGCGGGAGACCCTACACCAGTTCTGACAAATGGCAGCCCAATCTCTTCTTGAAAGTCTCCAATGATCTGTCTGTATTGTTCTCCCTTTGCAGAATTACCCATTTTTAAAATCAATTTCACCAGCTGATATTTGAGGACCATCTGAATTCCTTCCAAGCATTTTCCATTTCAAGCACTTTCCATCTCTTATTCTCAATTTCACCCTGCCAATTTCCCACAACTCAGGTAGATTTGCTGACTATACCAGGTAGATTCTGATGGTTTTGCCATTTTGAAACTGCCCGATTTAGTGTTTGTATTTTTAATGTTTTAAATTGGGCTCCTGATTGGGTGGCCTTATTATTCTTAATTAATTAATGCATGAAGTTGTTGTTGGGCAATAAAAAACACACAAGGTCAGAGAAAAGCTGTTTAGGCCAAGGAGG